CCATGAACGCCCGAAGTGGCTCGTCGTCATTCTATCTGAGGCTGGCTCGGGCGGCCGAAGTGATGTGGTGAGGTCGGCTCGTTGCATACTGCGTTGTGAACCGCCTGACCAGAGTACTGAAGCTGTCGATTGATTCAGCGGGAAGCTGGGTGTACCAGTTGAGCGCGACCCCCTTCAGTGAGGTCGGAAAAACCCTACATAAAATAACATCATCGTTAGTGTAAAGGTTCACCTGTGTCGTATACAGGTCGATGTGCTCATCGGGGTCCGTCGTGCCATCATAGCGATCGAGGTGGAGAGGCTTCCACCCCTGAGGGAGTGGTGTCTCCATGATGCCGTCCACAAAGGGATGACGATGGAAGGTTGCCTGACCCCCTGTGACATGAGTCGGGGCTTTGCTAACTTCATAGGCCAATATCTAGTGGAACCCTTCAGTTGAAGGAGACTGGACGTAGATCAGTTGAGCGAACTAGTATAAAATGATTGCATGCTCTTCTCGTTTACTTAGACACAAATCATCCTTACTGATCAACTCTTTATGAAAAACTTTGTCCAGTGTTTACAAGCTATTTAAACTACTCTTCAGATGAAAATGCAAATTTCGTTTAACAAATATATTACACTGAAAAGCTTTATCTACTGCTTGCCTTTAAACGAAACTATCTTGAAAAGGAAAATGTAAGAACTTCAATAATAATTATTATAAACCATTTTTCTCAGCAAACGATAAACCCTTCGACGCAATAACCTTGTGTTAATCAAATTCTGCCTAACCTTCTAGTATTCGAAAGTTCTTTGGACGAAGTATATTAATCTTGCGAAAATGTCCTTAAAATTCCTTCGTATACACACACACATATTCAACCCCCCTTTTTATGTGTTTTTTCATTAACTTCATTATGCACAATTTAATTCAGTTTGGTTAAATTAGGTTGAAATCTTGATGTTTTATGTGCTAAACGATTTAAATTTGGCATAGATTAGTATGAATGCTTGAATGTTTTAAAGTATTATGACTATAATTAGTAATAACTTAGAATGGTTATATTGTTATTGAATGACTTAAATTGATTGGTATTGGTTTCTAAAATGATTTGAATTTGAAAATTTTCATGATTGAGACTACTTGTATGATTGAGTATAATCTACAATATTTGACATTTCTCTAGAGTTTTGGAGTTTTAAACTTGGTATAGATTTTGTTTTTGATGATATCCAAAGAGGGAGAAAGGTATATATTTGTTTTGCAGGTTAAGTGTACAAAGTATTGAAGCAACAAAAGTATGAATTTTGGTTTAAAAGAAAGATAGAGTAAAAAAACAAAAGTATAATTGGATGAAGCAAAACAAGTAAAAGGAATATTTGTCATCATCAAAAAGGGGGAGTTTGTTGATCAAGCTCAAGATGAAGACATGATCCTAGTTGGTTTTAATGATTACAAATAAGCCTTTTGAGAGATAAAAGTGTAACTTGTAGTTTATTTTGTGTTTTGAGCCTCTTGATAAATAAGAATGCAAGTTGTATCTTGTTTTGTGTGGTTTTAAGCTTTTTTGCTTGTGTGCTTTGTCCTTGGTAAGTAACTTAGCAATTTATCTCTATTTAGATAATGATTAATGACTTAGATATATGTTAAAATTGATTTGTAAAGAGAAATTAATGGTATGAAAAATTGAGATATCAAGTTTTCACTTAAGATAATCAATTATTTCAAGTAATAATCGATTATTTATTCTGATTTTCAATTACCTAAGAAGTAGTTGCTGTAATAATCGATTATTCAGCAAAATAATCGATTATTTCATAAACCACATTCTGGAATAATTAGTTATTGCTCAAAATAATCAATTAAATTGTACTTGGTTGATTTCCAAAATTTCTAAGAACAAAATAATCGATTATTCATGCAAATAATCAATTATTTCAGTCAGAAAACTTATATATATCATTTTTCTCACCTTGGACAGAGAAATTTTGAATCTTTGTGATATCTTTTACGAAAACACTCTTTGTAGCACATTTCTCTCTACAAGAAGAGGTTTTTTGACCTATATGATAATATTAAAAAAGGTTTTCAAGAATTGAGTTGGTCATCATCTTCATAGAATGAAAGGTTAAGCTACATGATTGATTCTCCTTTTCTAATTTGTTTTGTACATCAGGTGAATATTTTCCTTAATTATATGTACTAGTTGTTTTCTTAAGTAGGATTCTTAAGAAAAGAGAATCTTATAGTAGGGTGCTATAATTAAGTGTTTCTTGAGGTTCAAGAAGTGATTTCTTTAATAGTGTAGAAATGTATTGCATGTGGTATCGTGATTTTAAAACCTCTAACATTAAAGATTAGTGAAAAATCTCAATCGGGTTGATTGGGGACTGGATGTAGGTCACAAGTGGATGTAGTTAAACCAGTATAAATTGGTTGTGCATGTTTCTCTCTACACTTAAATTTACATTCTTGCATTTCTATTTTCATGCTTGTTGTTATGTGTTGTGAGGCATATACATTGCATTAAGAATTGAGTAAATTTAGAATTGCATTGAATCTGAACTAAGTATCTTATCTACAAGTTATAGGTCAACACACTTCTTTTGAAAGATTTATAAAAGTTTTTAAAAACCAAGATAGTTGTGCAAGAAACTTTGATAAACCAATTCACTGCCACTCTTGGTTAGGCCATCTTTTCTAACATTATTCAACCTTCTTCTAGTGTTTATCTTTTCTTGACAATTATACACACTTTAGCTCACTAAAAGGCCTAAAAGAGAAGTTTGGTGCACAAAACAAATTCAAGTTAGAGTTGTAGTCACACCATTTTTGCTTAGTAGCAAGATTTTCACTCAACTAAAATAGTCACAAAAATAAATGCTCGCTTAGCTACGACATGGTCTCTCAATGAGAATGCACTCTGAAGAAACTTTGAGCTAAGCTCCCTTAGTTGTGAGTTGAATGCTCAACTAAAATAGCCACATAGAGATATTCTCACACACTCATAATTTGTTCGCTTAGCCAAAATTTAGCAACCAAATTTTAGTCGCTAATTCCATCTTTATTTTCCTAATAGAAAATAAATCCTATTGAGTTGACTAAAACACAAACTCAGCTCGAGATTATTACAAGTAACATAGTATCCAAAAGTCATTATACAAGTTGGCTCCATTTCTTCACACAAAATAAATGGTTGAGTCTCCTTTCCGAACCTTCCAAGGTCTTCAAAAGTAAACAAAAAATTATCTTTTGTTTCTTCCTTGATTTCATATCATCACCTCCTTCTTAAAAGAAAATTCGTCCCAAATTTAAAAAAAATAATATTAAATTTATGTGACAATTTTAACTAGACTAAAAAGATTTGAACCATTTATATAATTAAGGGGTCAAAATTGTTGCACTTTACCTTTTAAATTGCATGCTACATTTTAGAGGAACTTTTTCCTCTTATATAAGAACCCTTAAAAACAAGTACTTATTCAATACAAAACATTTTAATTTTTAACAAAATAATTCTAAATAAAAATATAAAAACATGGGTCTATAAAATATGGAATAAGAACCGAAGTCAAGTTCTTTTATTGAATTAAACAATAATGAAAGTTCTTAAATATTATGTAATATTAAGAAACTAAAAAAATACATTAAAAATTAAAAATTAAAAAATGGATTCTAAAGTTAAATATGCTCTAAAAAGAGAAAATTGTCTGTACAATAGATAACATCAAATACTTCATTAATGTTTGCACTCAAGTTTATTTTACTTTGATATATATATATAGACAGGGCCTCATTTCGAGTGTTACAAACTTGAAAGACAGAGTTGCCTTGGTTCCGATGTTTGGTATCATATCATGGATAGGACAAGTCTTCAAGTTACTCGGTATTGCAATGCTCACCCCAACACGTTTTACATATTTCATGCATTTTCTTGTAATCATAAACTGTAGAGAACTTGGATCCAAAGCTTATTTATCACTTATTTTTCGATTATTCATTTGCTGTTACCTTCTGCTCTGTTGTACCCTTTTATGTTTTTCAGTGCCTGAAACATTTTCATTCCTCTACACACTTTATTTGCTTGGATCAAGATTATCTCCAGTTAAAATTGTAACTGCAAAGATCTTTACCATTAATTATCAAGACAACCCAACATTCCATCATATGTATGATTTACTAATTATTATCCATATGCAGAGTTTATTTTCTCATCAACCGCTGAAAATTGCTTAGTTTTTCCTCTAAAATGAGTTGATCTCTTTAGACAGTCAGATCCCTTAGAGTTTAATATTTTTTTCAACTTTTAAGACTAACCCTTAAATTATCAATGATTTTCTTAAGCATAATTGGTATTTCAATAAACCGTTTCCTTGATGGTTGAAAATATTGTTATTTCATTCTTCCTGAACACTAGGTAACTGGATTTAATGGTAATGTAGATTTTATGCCTTCATTAACTGGACATGACATTCTGGCATATGTAAGATGCAGCATATTAAACATAGCATACAGGTAAGTTGTCAAGGTGTAGTGCTCAATGCCCTTTCTTGTGTTTTAACAGGTAAGGAGTGGAGGAAAAGACAAATAAGAACGATAACAGATCAAGTTTTTGACATAGTAAAGAATCAAGAGGAAACTGTTAATTTGACTTTTGGGGATCTGTATATTGCTGTTTTACTTGTGTACAAGTAAGAAGCCTGCTTCATTAATGTATTTGACATTTTGGTGGAGTTGATAATATGCTTTTGAAATACTGAATTAATTTACCTTGTAGTGGTATCAACAAGTATATTCCTGGTCCCCATTTTGATCCTCCATCAAAAGAAAGAGTCAGAGAAGTCATCGAGGTACTTTATTGTGTCATAATGAGATCAAACTAAGTATTTTATTTCTTAGAATTTGGATTTAGAGCCTAACTTAAATCCATAAAACTAATTTGTAAGGTCAGAACTATTCGAACTTTATAAGCTACATCTCCAATTGAGGTGGGACTAAACCTTGGTTGCAATCTATTTAAGTCATATCTCTAGTCGATTTTAGGCTAAACCACCTATGATCCGCATCCTGGTGACTGCACTCTACAACAGCTAATTCAGCCTTTCTTGTAAGCCCTTCTGTAGGCATCCCCTTCTGGCTTAAGAAGATCCTGCAGAAAATTTGAGTTTGTCCTACATAAGATTTTAAAAATATATCCAAGAGTAACTTGGCACTGCTACTGGACAATTTCAATACCACGAAAATGGTTGGAATACAAATGAAACTTTGGAAATTTGGATGATCAAATTCTGCTATTTTGTTGAAATTGCATAATACATGCTGGTTTGTAAAGTTCTGAGATGCAAGCGAAAATTAGACTACAAATAACTAATCAGAGGTGTTATGCACTTTTTGTTAGAGCCTTACTATATTTTCAACAAGCTAGCTGCTGTGATTTATAAAGAAGATTTATCTTGTCAACATGAAAATTTTTTATCATGACCCAAGAGTTGAGAGGCTCGTTTTCATTTTTCTCAAAATCATTTTTGTCTTCATGCTTACCTATGTAAAAATTACACTCTCCAAAAATAAGCTAAATGTACACAACTTTGTTCAGTCCAACAGAATTTGTCAATTGCTTCAACTATATTGAATTTTTTTTCCTGAACATTATAATTGTTGGTATATTGGAATTTAGTGTGATTCATAAAACAACTTGCAGGAGTGTGATATCAACTCAGATAGTCAAATTGACCGAGACGAATTTTTTGATTTCATCGAGAAAATGGCACCCGAAACATTCTATGTTGTTCATAAAAAACTTATTGCCACTTTGGTTGTAGCACCAACAGTTGCAGCAACAACAAAGAAAGCCACTGAAGGTGTCCCAGGGGTTGGGAAACTGGTGCAAAGATTACCCAAACTACTTTATACTGCCCTTATGACAATTGCAGCTGTGTGGTTCCAAGAGAGTGGTCAAAATTCTGCACTCTAGCCATTGCACATCATTTCTTTTACACAGAATGATAGAATTTTTTTGTATTGTACACATAGGATTGACACTGTTTCCTTGTTGGTTATAATGACAGTTGATAAAAACAATGCTGTGTTTCACATTTTGGACAAAAGACCAACTCTTGATTTTTCTGTCAAAGGAAATGTTATGCATGTTAATAAACTGTCTTGAATAAAATTGTATACAATTATTATTTTAAAAAATTTCCTGTCCTTTGCATTTACTCATGTCTTCATGATTTCTATGATTATTTTGATCTAATTGATAAATATGTTAGAAATGAAACCTCAAAGGACCTCATCTGGGTAAAGACTGCCTTCTTGTGAGTTTCTTTTAAAGTTATTGGGTTTGTATTTACTTGAGAGAGGAATATATTTATCAAAGGGAACATTATTATATCTTTTTATTTTATTAGGATATTCAAAATATTTACACACATAATTTCATAATTCTTAAGATATTGTCTATTTTAGATTTATACTCTCGTAATTTTGTTTGTACAGATATATGTGTGTTTTATAAATCTTTATTTCTCATCTTGTTCTATTGACGTGAAACTTGGTTTATATTCCAACATTTTCTTACCTTGTATTTTTACTGATTTAACTTCCTTTCTTTTAGCATGATGGTAGGAATGACAAGAATTCAGAGTCATTTGGAACATATCTATAAATGGAGTGATATCATAGGTGCCCAATTTTCAACAGATGGATATGATTATCATAGATATGTGATGCCCTAATAAATCTATAAGAAATCCTGAATGCAGGAATATTTGATACGGCTACTTTAAATGGATGTTAATTTTGCCTTCTAATTTTTCTTTCCTTTATACAATTCGCATTTTACACTCAACTATTTAGAATTTGCCTCATAAGAAGGGTGAAGTAGATTCTCGTATTGCTGTATTTTATTTTCTTGCTTCACACACCCTTCAATGTTTCTTGCTCATATTTCTGGATTCTCACTTTTATTTCCCAAGACAGGAATAAGAAGCTTCAGTGCTACGCTGATATGGACAGGTTCAACCACCCCCCCCCCCAAAAAAAAAAAAAAAACC